GTCAGCAAGGTGTGCCTGTAATCTGACGAGTGTCAAGTAGCAAGAAGCCCGGGTCCAGGGTTTCCTGTTGACAACCTCAAACCACCACCTAATCTCAACATAGTGCACGCAACGTCGGATCACCTAGACTAGTAGCCACACTGCAACTTGGTCGATAGCATTTGATCTGCACTAAGAATGACTTGACACATATGACATTGATCACCACCCAGTGATTAACCAATAGTGAGAAGCTGTAGTAATTGAGGTAAACTCCACTCTAGGTATTTTTGCGATGAATGTGTCTTTGTAATGTGCCATCTGATGTTCGTCTGATTCCAATATCTAGGAAATGGAATTTGCCTTCAACTTCATGTTCCATAGTAAATTCTGTATCTTTGTGTGCTTTATGAAAAAGACTGAGAAGGTTCATCGAGTGCTTGTGATTATTGCAGACAAAAAGTGTGTCATTAATATATCTACAATAGATTGTGGTAACATCGATAGCGTGCTTGAGTTTCCTCTCTTCCAGGTTTCCCATAAATATGTCGGCCAGAATTGGGTCCAAAGGGCTGCCCACGGCTACTCCATCGATTTGGCTAAACAGCACATTGTTAGGTTTAAATTGTATGTTTTTGTACACAAAAACTAAAGCTGTTTAAATTCCTGGATTGGTTAAGGCAGGAGTTCTGGATATTCACATATGATCTCAACCGTTTCTTCCAAGGGGATCTTTGTGAAGAACGATGAGACGTCAAATGAGACCATGAATTTATCAGAAGCATTAAGGATATCAAGCCTTTTTACAAATTCAAAACTATCTTTCAAACTGTTTTCTAGTCATGACTTAAGATCTCTCCTAGATCTCCTTTCCTGTACAAATAAGAGTAACGTGTCTTTGAAAATCTAATTAATGACCTATTCATTACTAGTCTGGCTTCTATCAATAGCACGAGGGTTACCTATAGACACGAAAGTTTTACTAGCAACCGTGGGAGCGTCCCATATGAATAAGCTAACTTTTTCTCCAAAAAATCCCCAAACTCAAACTTCAGGGTCATCTGACAAGTATATTATAATCATACCGGATTACGTAGTATCAATGCCTGCAATAAACTCGTCGGAAAAGGGGATAAGGATGCACAAAAGTATATTAGAAATGCGCTTAACACAGCTGTCCAGCCCTTTGACATCGAAACCGAATTATGTATCTTCATACAAGAGGCTATAGTTTCTTATGTTTAGCCCGCTAACAAATACGTCATTGTAGACGTACTTAACAATAAACAACTCATGATAGCAGCCAAGCAGTGAATTGTTGGCAAAACCTTTGCCTTTGTCCAACGGAACTTTTCAACTAGTAGTGAATAGGTCTTCTATTTAGATCTTCGCGCAGCCAAAGTGAAGCCTGAGATTACCTGTTCAGATAAACAAAGCCTCTCAAGATTCAACGTAAGGTAATAGGGAATATAATGCCTATACAAAATAGGGCAGTGAATGAATACTTGAACTCTATTGTTTTGACATATGCTTAGTTGTTTGGGGTTGATTCTTAACAAATCAACCTAAGCTGTTAGGACCCCTCATGGAGGAAAAGAGGCCGCCCACCAGCACTCCACATCTAACCCTGTTCTGGACAATTCTTTCCAGTTTTTTTCCAGTTGCCACTCATTCTTTTCATGTCTGCTTCTGATTCCCGACGTAATTCGTTCTTCGGCCTTCCTTTTTTCCTCTTTCCGTCGCGGTTCCGAGTTAGCTCTTACCTCGTAATGCAGCTTGATAGTTCCAGCAACGTATGTCCCACCCACTTCCAACGTATTTTCCTAATTTCCTCCTCAGCTGGAACCCGGTTTGTTCTCTCCCACAGTAGGTTGTGGCTGATGGTATCCGGTTAGCAGATATTGAATATCTTGTGTTGACAACTGTTTGTAAAAACTTGTGCCAGTTTGATGATAGTTGTGGTAGTTCTCCAAGTCTCAGCTCCGTATAGTAGAACTGACGCGATATTTATGTTGAAGATTCTGACTTTTATGTTGGTTGATAGTTGTTTTAAATTGCATATGTTCTTCAATTGCAGAAATGTGACCCTTGCTATGCCAATCTAGGTCTTTGCGTCTGCATCCGATCCTCCATGTTCATCGGTAATGTTGTCAAAGTATGTGGTAGTTTTAGGATTTTACTTTCTCCCTTATGTATGTTGTCACCTACTGATAGAGAGGCTGCTGCTACACTGGCCGTCTTGACTTGAATTTGTACCTGTGTGTGGGATAGGATGGTCAGGTCATCTGTGAACTCTAAATGATTTAGTTGATTCAGAGCTGTCGATTGTCTTCAGCACTTCCCCACCGATGTCGAGCTCTTCGTAATGCAGTCAACCATCTAAACAAAGAGTAAGAAGGAGAGCAAAAATCCTTTTCTGACTCTGGTCCTTACCAGAAATTCGTCTATCAGCTGCCCCCGTGCACGACTTGGTTGTGTAGTGCATCGTATCGATTCCGTATGATAGTGATGAACGTCTCAAGCGCATCACAGTGTCGAAGAAGTTTCTATAATGTTCTCCTGTCCATACTATCAAATGCTTTCTCGTAATCAAGAAAGTTAATGCCCAGTGACGAACTCTACTCAACTGATTTGTTCAACGTTTATCATTAGTGTTGCTATTTGGTCTGTGCACAACCGATCTTTACGGAATCCAGCCTGTTGGTCTCAAAGTTGAGTGTCTACTCAGTCTTGCTCTCATTTCAGCAACGCTCTGTTGATAACCTTTCCTGGTACTGATAGTAGTGTGATGCCTCTCTAGTTCTCACGATTGCTCAGATATCCTTTCTTTAGTAATTTGATTGGATATGCTTTTCATTCTGTTGGCAATTGTTCCTCCTCCAAAATCCTCCCGAATAGAACATGAGGCATGTTTGCAGCTGCTTTTACTTCTGACTTTAGTGCTTCAGCTGGTATATAGTCAGTGTAACGGAAAAAGAACGATGAAAATCCCTACACAGTTTTTTGTTGGACAGTGTTTTTCATTCATTTGTTTCTTCTCCCTGTTATATATTTCAACCTTTGTTCATATCTCGTTTCAGCTTTTATTATGTAATTTTGATTGAAAACTTATCCCTTTGTTACATAATTTTATTGCATGTTGCCGGACTATTGACAGTGAGGTCGTGTTTGACTAAGCTCAAGGTCGCGGCGTGATTAAGTGTGACTGCTAACCCTTTGACTGTCTGCTTGGGAGGATTTCTGGTATCCCTGCAGATAGATATTTTGATCCCGTTTGTTGGGAATATATTTGTTGATTCTCAGGTATTAAATTCTTTGGTGTTGACTGTTTCTTTTATTTTTAGCGCACTACTTTGCGTTAGAGAAACTTCTGACTGTATAGCACAGGCTGTACCGTTTGAGGTATTTTGTATTTTTGATATAATTTGTTCTATTTCTTAAATTAGAACCGTATAAATTGAGCACAGAATTTGTGTTTTGATATAATTTAATACGAGTGTCTCAAAAACGCTTGGCGTGCTATACGGAAGATCGTAGTCTGACCTATTCGAATACAATTTGGTTCGTCAGTCCTACGTTCAGCCCGAATACTGGTAGTTTGGTCGTTACAGTCAGGTCGTACTACTTTCACACTCTTGATTTGACCGATGACAACAAGACCTAAATATGGATGACAACACAACATGTTTACTAATTAGACAGCAAACATCCTACATCAAATGTATGATTATTGAATTTTAAAAATAATCCCGTGTGAATATCAATGTGCAGGTTTAGATTCATAATTTATAAACCATGTTCCATCGTTAGATCACTACAAAATGATTTTCAGATCCTACAGTGGATGTCTCTTAATATCAGTCGCATGTCATTTTACACCATAACTGGATGTCCTCTAATAAGAAATTAATGGCCAAGCAGGTGGGGATACGACAAATGAAACGGGGTATAAATGTACAAACTTAGAGAGCGAATTCACAGGTAGTGCATAGGAAAATTGTGTGTTGGGTAGTACGCTCGTGGAAATTTCTCCGATGTCTATGTTTCATTTTCTCATTTCCATTATCTTACTGGCTCACTTCTCATGTACAGGATGCGTACAAAAAATCATGCGAAATTATTTGTGAAAAGAAAGTACAGAGAGAGTGCAACATGCTAGCGAAGTACATGACTATATAGACTATATCTGTATATTCGTTGCACGGTGGTCGTTATTAATTGAAAAGTAAGGTCGAAAACTGACTGCGTTACAAAAAACCTCCATTAGGCTATTGAAACAGAACCGACCTATTTTTTGTCTGACAGACTGGCTGAACCTGCAATCCCATAGAAGTGGCCCCTATTAGGAAGCTGATGTAACGCTTAAGTTGGCTGATTAAGAGTTGGTCAACAAGTTTCGGTATTGTCGAAAAATTGTAGCTTAACCATTTATTAAAGTCACTAATTTGTTTATGCACAATATTTCTTATTATCCCGTATTGAGTGTTGAAAAAGTGCTTCGCGCCACCATTTTGTCGAAGTGTTTCTAACTCAACCAGAGCCCTTTTCTGATTTCATTTTGTGCTCTTAAGACATAATGGGTCCGACAATCAGAAAAAGTGGTATTACACCCACTACTGAAAAAATTAATAGAAAAACTAGACCTACACAGGAAAGCAGGCTGAAAGGATAAATGCAAGTAGATTGATCAACTATCCTTATTATTGAAGAGTAAAGACTAAACTTTATTAGATGTAAGCAACAAAAATACAAAATAAGATGTAAGCTAATATTGTGTTTGACTTTGGTTTTTTGATATACGCATTTGCTCAAGTGTACTTGACAACTAGCAAATTGCTTTTAATTACAAAAGAGCGCTGTATCCAAATCAGTAACTTGATTCCGCTCAATGAAGCGTTGCACAAGCTCAGCACTCGGGCTGTGTGGTCCTGGAGGGAAGCGACTAAGACATCATTCTCCAGATTCATCCAGTTCTTACGGGTGCTTTTCTGGAATCTCAATCTTACCGTTTGATATCAAGTGTCAGATACTATCACTAGTCGAAAGTATTTTTCTGTAAAGTTTCACATATTCTTAGTCAGCGATCTGGTGAATCTTTGGGAAGTTTCCAAGGACTTTCAAGTTATGATTGAAAAATACTGCAACAGTAGTCTATGTTCTCAGTTATTGCAGTTTTACGACCCACATAATCACGAACTACACTCAGCATTCAGTTTTAGATTCACCGTTACGTTGTACAAACATGCTGGTGAGTTCGGCGCTATTTGTGATAGCACTAGGAAGTCTATTTCGTAGAATTTATCAATATCAACCGCTTTGCCGTAAACTCCAGTTTTTGGAGTGTAATTTACGTAGAGTAAGTTTTTCGAATTTTTTAGAATTAATATTTCCTTCTGTTTTTGGCTTTCCATACTGAACCAACACTAGTTGAGTGCCAACCGCATATTCGAATTGTTACTGAACCTGGGTTTTTATTCCATTTTTGGAAGCTTTGTTGCTTATGGCGAAATAGATTTTGTAAAATTTTTGATACACATAAGAAAATATCAAAAAAGACCTGGTGTTTTATCAAGCATTTTGAGACTAGAGTATCATATGTCATGTTTTTATAGAGGAATTTATGAGAGTGACAACCCAAAAAGCTCCCAAATAGTACTACATACAATAACGAATTTCACCCTGGTTTTGGTTCACATGACTAATTAATTAAAGGTTGGTTGCATTTTTACAACAAGTGACCCTAACATTTTTCTCTCTTCTCACTTTGTTGACAGATGACTTGATGGATGCTCTATATGGTTTGTTTGAATTGGAAAATCACTAGACAGTTAAAACTACCTCTAATTGAATAATTGGATAAGAAAACCTCAGGCTGAACCAAAGGTTTCTAGCAGGTGTGTGTGATATTCGATGTCTGACACGTATACTGAACTTCAAAATTTATTATCCAGCATTTGATAATTCTATAATTTCCTTCGTCCTGTTATTCATTTTATCCTGACCCAACACTCAAGTATTTTTCTATTGAAAAAGGGTCAAACTTCGATCAGTTTTCTTATATCTTGATGTCGACAAGCGTTTGATATAGGATACTGAAACTTGTGATAGCTTCTGCAGCTTCAAGTACAACTAATCTTTATTTCGCAACTTTTTTACAACCATCTGATAATCGTCAGTGTCCATTACTTTTATGTCTGATGATTAAAAGTTTCCAACTCAATTATCTTTGTTTTAGCATATGCCGAATCTAGAAAAATTTTCCAGTACTAGTAAAAATCTACAGGAACCAGACTATTATCCGAGCACCTGCCCCATCGGTCCTTTAAAATGTTTGGCTTTACTTTTGTATGGCGTTTTCTTGAAAGAGTTTATCTTTGGGTGGCCAGAGCAAAATATTCAGCGTGTTTTTCACACTCTTGTGCATGTATGCTTTAATGAGAACTTCTGGTTTCGCCTATCAAGTTTGATCTGTCAAAGACCAGGTAGCCGTTTGGTGTTTTTGTTTTTGATTGTCTACTCTTGGTTTACCTTATATACATAAAACTATTATGGCCAGTGTCACCTTTCGTAAGAGATAAACTGTAGAAGACTACTCTTGTATCAGAATTTCATGTGATTATATTTGTTATGCTTCATTTTTGTGATTTTTTACATGGAAATTTTCTCAACTGATAATAACTAAACGATCTGTGCTAAAACGTAGTCTCTAGTTCCTCCAACAAATAATCTAGAAATCGTGTGTATGTATCAATGAGTTAGTGAATGTGTGTATTTGACGTGAAAACCAATGTAAAGGGGTTTATCCTGGTTGACCATTAATAAAAAAATGCATTCCTATGGTTTTCTCTCAAGTCCTAACATAGTGAACACTGAAGCAAAGTAGACATTAACGAGTCAAAAAGTTAATTTAATTAAAAGACATTAGTGAACCTAGATTAATAAACGTTCTGCAGAATTTGCAATTGATCGAAATAAGAAGAGCTTTCAAAAATAAAAATGAGAAACCAGCTGTATAAGTTTCCTGAAAATAGTTGTTCCTAAAAGCTCATTTGCAGGAAGATAATCTGTTCATCCTAAAATTAGCCTTCACGATCTTAATTACATCTTCATCTTATTTAAAAAGTTAGCTTTCATGTGTTATCACCAATTTGTGTGCTTGTGCTTAACTTCCATTATGAATTTAATCTCCTTACCTATATTCTGAGTAATCTTAATAGTTGTGAAATAGCAACATTCAATATTGTCTGTCAAAAAAAGTAAAAGCTACAAACTACCTATTTAATACTGATATCAAACACTTATTAAACGACTTTTCTGTTTTGTGATTACTTGCGATACACTAAATGGTCTAACATAAGCCGTAAATATTCTTAAAAGACGATCAAGGTCATTGTAGACGGATAACAGAAAAATAAAACGACATCAAATAGTCGTTAAGTATGTTTGAATTATTTAATGTTGACCAGTTACGTGCTTTTTCTACCCAAGAATGGATGAAATGGTATAGCAGAGAACTGCACATTTTTTTATTTTACTTGAATAAATATTATGAATATATCATATTTTCGGAGGCTCTAAAATATCCATAAATTTCAACTATCCGCTTATTTTTGTGGTAAGTTATTTAAAATTTGGAATTTATATCGTTTCTCGAGCAGACATCTTTATACGTGAATAAATACTTCTTGATTGTTGCTTATAGACATAAAACTAAAACATAACATAACAGATTAAAATGTCGGTCGGCCTAAAGAAATATCCAAATAAATACTAAACTTAAAATACACGGCATTATTTTGATGTCTGAATTCCGGTGTTTGTCACATTTCTGTTTTACTTAGATTAACTCATGGTTATGATGATTTCACCAAAATTAGATATTCATAATTGAAATGTGGATTACATTCGGGACTTAAATTTGATTCCGTGAAAAATTGTAGATCTATACGAATTATAGAATTAACCGACTTTTCCCCTCAATAGTTTACTTACTGAGTGTACATTTAACTTAAATAATCATAAGAGTTTAGATGATAAACATAGTTTTGTGAATTCGACTTTTTGTTGACTTTGCAAGAAAAAATTGTCTCTGAGCCCTTTATTGCTTCAGGTGTAGATCCTCAATCTGAACTGACACTTCGCCTTTTCCTGAGGAAAACGTTTTTAGACCCTAATGCGTTACCACAAATGTATGATGAGATCAACTCATCATCGTCATTCATTTCCAATACTAAGCAATGTTTATCATCGGATAACTGTTCCTTAACTATTCAATATGACACACTTCAAAATCTACATCCAGCTGAAGCCCATTCAAAGACTTCCTGGACCCGTGAAACAATCAGTTACCATGTATCACCCAGATATCCCTCTGATAATGTCCTACTGACTTCAGTCTCCTCATCTAGCAGTTATAGTGACAACGGATTTTCATCGAATGATTTGTTAACAGTCACACAATTACCGCGGTTAGTGTACTTATTCTAAAATATGATTTATTCGTTTGTTATTATTAGGTGTTTTGGTTTTGTAGGACTTTAGATTTATTTGCAAGCGTGGATATTAAACGGTTCGTCATATATATATATATATATATATATGTTTTTTAAATATCGAGATTCATTGTTGTGTGAAAAGTTTGCTAGTTTACCTACTGGTATAATATTGTAAGGTTTACTAATTAAACCCCCGGGTAAAGAAGTATTTTACCGATGTTGATATTCAAGACTAAATGGTTCATAATTTGTTGGAACAAGGGATTTCTTAAAAATATGCACCAATGTTTTCCGTATATGTGACTATTTAGGACTATGTTTTAAATAGTGTTTCATCTCATATGGAACTTGTTAGCTTGATATACCTCCATTCCATTTTTGATGTTCTCATTGAACTACTCATTATGGTAGTGGGTTATTATGATTGCCAATTATTCGGTGAGTAATAAATATTATTGTAACTTATTTCCCGACTTTAATTCACGTGATAAATGTTATCCCTTCTAAGTGGTAAGCTAACGTTGACTGGTAAGCGATAAACGGGTCTATTCATTCTACATTATAATAGAGCATATCTGAATTTTACTGCTTGACGCTACCAATAATTATCTTAAAATATAATGAGAATATGTGTGATAACGTCAATAATCTTAACATATAATGAACGATTCGTTTCAACAGAACTATAAGACAGAACAGAAAACTTAGAAATTGTCATGTATTACCTCACCTTGTCCATTTGCGAAAAGCTAATTAAAAAACACAAAGTAAAACAAATTAACTTTCTTGTGAATTTTAGACTACCTAGATGTGTGGGAATCAACCAGAAATTACAAGGCTTATAAATACAATCAGAAGACTGAAAAGATTAGCAGAACACTTCGAAAAATTGTCAAACTGCTCTCCAGTTCCCACCGATTGTAGCTGCTACCTTGACATGGTGACTCGACCAAGCCATACAGGCCGGAACACATGTTCCTTTAGGTCCTACCATGCCAGACACGTCGGCTACAGAACGGTCAGACTAAAGGCAACAACTTAAGGTCTGAGTGAGAAGTTGTACTGCCAACCATAGATGAATGTGACAGCAGTAATGTGTTTCCCTCGGATAATCAGCATCTGCTGAGATGCTATCTTCTCGCTACGGAAGGAAGAATGTCACACCTTATCTCACGGATTTCTGTCTCCGGCGACAATGAGCTTTGAAGTGCGGAGCCAGCATACCATAAACGTTCCCATATTTAGGCCCTGTGCGATGGGCATCAAGTGGTTGATCCTTGAGCCCTCAGGACGCTGAGACCACCACCAAATTCATCTTTCCTTCCAAATTCCTCAAGGAGAAATGTCCCCCCAAAATGTGGACATACGGGAAGTGACGAACACCTTCATATCTCTATCAGCACTCGGGATCATCTTGTTGACGACTGAATCCTTCCATTATCCCTTACTAATCCTCACATCCCTATAACTAACCCTTCTCCTATATCTTTATGATCACACTCCACCAATGCTAATGATTTGAGTTCACGAAATGTTACTACCGGTCTCCTGAAGCCACACTCTAAGCCATATGTTGGAGCTTATAATGTTCGAATCTAGTGTCAGATAAGACAACAGGTTTTTTTAGCAAGAGCTCTAGAATCTTACTCCATCGGCGTTTGCTACGTCTTTGAAACGTATATGCAGAATCCAAGTGCATTCATTCATTTGACCTCATCTTGTCACTATAAATAATCGACACGATTTGCACATAGTGTATCCCGAGACCTTACTGCTACTTTGCGTGTTTCTGCTGGTGTATATATAGCGATACATTAAAGAGCAGAACAGGCTGTTAGAGTGGATTCCAATAAAAAGTCGCTAGTGCGCTGTTCGACTAAACGGGACAGTAATAACTAGAAAACATAGAAGATAAAACATTACCTTCTTGTTATCTCTGCATCCGCTCTCACCGATTTCAGTTCATATAAATCTGAATTATATAGAAAACTACCTAACCTCCTTCAAAACGCTAAGTGTTCTGATGTAGTAATAGTGGCAAGTGATTTTAAGGCTCAAGTAGGCAAACAAAATCAAACCGAGACTTAGGCGGATCTTACAGTATTGCGCTTTGTTAAATAGATAATGGCAACCTTCTGTTGTACCCATGGTCAGATAAGGAGGAAAATCGAGTTTAACTCGATGATGAACAAGTTAAGGATATAATTCAGGAACAGCTAGAGGAGGAGCTAGTCATCCGTGAACGTTATATCCACCCCGAATTAGCTTGATATGTTATCCAAAAAGCTTTAGAAACAGCAGTGATATCTACCAGTGGCTTCAATGAGAAGGTTTAGGAAAAGTCAGTGGACTTCAGAGACATCTATGGCACTGATAAATGCTTGAAGCTCATCCCGTCTGGCTCCAAACACGATGAGGAGCGGAGGCAGCTTGAACGTAGGTTGGTAAAAAGCCTATGTAATGGTCGTGAGCAGTGGTGGGTAGCGAAAGCAGAAGGCATAGAAAAGGTAGAAACGGTGGGTAACATCAGACAACTGTTCAGACTTAACAACGAAACGTGTGCTAAAAACACGGCTGTTAGTGAAACTATCTCAGGAAAAGACGGGACTATTATTCACTGTCAATCCAGGAGATCGGACCGATGGGCAGGACACTTTAGGTAAAAGTCCGACTGACCTCCGGCCACATTTCAGTTGCTCACTATCTCCAGACAAACTGATGTAAGTCCTCCAACCCTTAGTGAGGTTGAGAAGGCTATAAGTGATCTAAAGTGAGGGAGAGCAGCATGGGATTTTTAAAGATGGTAGTTCAGTCCTACCTGTCAGATATACTAAGGTCCTCGCTAGAGCGTGGAAACTGTGTATAATTACATCCAACTGGTCTCCATCACTGTTCGTTCCAGTGTATAAAGGACAGGGATCCTTTTTGATAACCACGGAGATCAGTTTTACCACCATAGTATCTAAATTATTAGCCTCAGTAGTCAACCAGTCTTTAACTAGCGCTCGTAAACAGCAAACTCGTGAAAACCAGATCTAATTTAGACGTGGGCAGGGACATGTAGACCAAATATTTGCCGTTCGCCAGGTTGTGGAACGCACACATGCCTAATGGCTTTCAACTATAATTGTATTCCTCGACATTTGGACAGCGTTCGACTACGTAAATGTACAGGTGTTACGACAGTACCTGTCATTGCAAGGCGTGCCAAAAAATTAGGTTAGCATTGTAAGGGTTTTCTTCCCGAATACTATTAGTCGAGTGAGAGCTTATGATGAACTGTCATCGGAAACGGATTCTTCAAGAATTGTTCGTCAGTGTTGTCCGCTAGCTTCATTTTTATTTAATCTTGTCATAGACATGCTTTTAGAGATAACGCTTTCATCGTCTGCCTCTTCAGAGATTGATCTTCCACCAGGAGATTCACTCGCTGACTTCGAATATGCAGATGACGTAGTTCTGTTTGGTGAAGACGCTGACAAAGTGCAGAGTTCTCTGAACACCTAAAGCAGCAACGCAAGCATGTTGGGGATGCTGTTTTCTCCCCCCACATGTGAAACGTCACTACGGGATTGGCCTGCGTCATCGTCTAAATTAATGATAGAGAGTGAAGTAATTGAGCATGTTGATCACTTCACTGATCTTGGTAGTCTCACTAATGCTGATGTCTTGGTGTCTAAAGAAATCTCGTCATGAACCCAAGAAGCTGTTGTGTTTCGCCTACTTGTGATGAAGCCGAGATATCCATTTGAGCTAAGGGACGAGTATACTGCGCAGCAGTTCTCTTCGTTCTACTTTGTGGCTGGGAAAGATAGACTTTCAAAGCAGTGATTCGTAGGTTATTAATATTGGATTTATAAAGGTCGTCAGACTATCACTCGTGCATTTTGCGATTTCTCAGTAAGCTGTTATGAAATTAGACGCAGGGTACTAGTTAAGGATGACAAATTGACTAATGAGGTAGGTAACTTTTGTCGGACATGTATTACGTGTGTCCACCTCCCGACTACGTCGACGGACGATGATGGCTTGAATAAGAGTAGTTTGTTGTAAAGGTAGGAGCGGCCAAACAAAGACCTGGCATCAGTCTGCAACAACACTATCTGTTGTATTAAGACACTCAGGTAGGTACAGTTTAACTGTTTCGGATCCACATCATAATCGTAACTAATTGTTAGAGACTTTAAATGATATGATTCAACATCGTTCACAATGGTGCAGGTGCATCCACTCTTTGTTCTTTTTCAGACACTAAGTTTCTAAATTACCTTATAATTTTATTATTCTCTCGCTATCCTGTATTTTCTCGAATCACATATATGCCTAATTTTTTCCATCATCCATACTACCTGCACTACTCTGCAATTTATTCTGAAAATTTCTCGCCGGGCTAATAGGGTATATCAACCTGAAACGATGTACATAATTTACAGGTTTTAAGTTGCGTATGACTGGTATACAGCATTTGGAAAACATTAAGAACTGAAATAATTATATTACAGTTACTTGGTAAATAAGTCTCTGTATATATACAAGATAGTTGCTAGCTATTTTTTATTCCCCTATTCAATTAATCAAATTTTAATTTGTATCTCGTCAGTTTATTTGATTTATCAAACAAGAAAAAAACCTTATATTTAGGTCTTAAAATAATTAGGACCTAAATAATCTACGAAATCAGTGTCTTCCCATCACTTATCATTTCATTCAATGTTTATTCTCTTGAGTAATACTTTGTATATAAACATACTGTTATATTAGATGGTGGTTGGAGGTAGTCAATAAGAAACCCGGGTTTCGTGCTATTTGACACTCGTCAGCAAGATTTGCCTGTAATCTTGAGGGAACTGGTGCTTCCTGAAGGATTCGATCCCGTGTCAACCATCTTCACAGTCAGAGACGTCACCACTGGGCTATCCGGGCCGCGACCGACCTCCTGTAGGACTGAGATGTAATCACAGTTGATTGGTCACTGTTCTTTTGAGATTGCAGGTACACCTTGCTGACGAGTGCCAAGTAGCACGGAACCCGGATCCACAGTGACCAATCAATTGTGATACTGTTATATTAGATAGGAAACCTATGCTTCTTGCTGGTGGTTTTGTCTTTGGTCCCAGTTTTTTTCTGGAAGGTTGTTATGTTGTGTAAACAGTAATATTTGGCAGCTTGATATTTCCTTCGCTAGTGTTGAAATAAACTGATTCTCCATGTACTCGAGTATGGGTTACACTCTAAATGTGAAGGCTAATGGCTTTACCCAGCAGCTCAAAGTGAAGTAGATGGAGCTGGGCTTAAACCTGAAACTTTGTGACTGAAAATTAAGTACTTTAACCACTTAGCCACCCTTATTATAACTGTATAATTTGAAATCGTTTCCATCTATCTGCGATTAATAAGACAGAATTTTTTGAAGCATAAAATGAGGAACTTAGCTTTAGAAGAGATGTAAAATGTTTCAACTCAACAATACACACCAAGTTAATTCTAACGGCATTTTGATCCTCACAGCTACTACGTTAATAATTCTTGTAAAATATATTATCGTCTAGTATCAAAAACTGTAGTCTAGCATGTATATTTCTTAATTCACCATTTTACTTTTTGATGGTTAGCAATAATGCTTGCCGGACATTTTTTGAATCTAAGTTCACCTCTTTAGAATAATGATATTAGAAGTTGGTTCTGTTACACCTTAGTATTATCGATCTACTATTTATTACTCACAGTGCTATTTCAGGATCTTCGTTATCATCACTTCCAACCCTGGTCACGCAGAATTTACCAGCTTCCTCGAGTAAACTGACAAATAATTATTTCTGGCCAGCTTCAAACAATTTGATGAAGATTCTCCATTCTTATTCGTACACTCATCAAGCCAGAATTTTATTTATATTGTATGGACCATTACATAGAGGTAATTCTGTTCATCTGTTTTGGGTTGTTAAGTTTGTTAAATCCTCTATCAACTGTGTATCATAAGAATCAGTATTACGAGATTATATCTGAAAATATCCAGGAAACAACCTCCCCGTGGAAGATTAACCGTAGGGATTTTTGAATGTTCGTTAAAAATCGTATACATATGTGTAATTAATAGGACGGTAGCAGTTGTAAACGATTGGGATTTTCTAATAAATTTTCATTACATTCTCATCGTAAAGCATTTTGTATTCATACACTGGTAATAAAATTTGGAAATTTCGACATTAAAATTTCTCAGTCTTATAAATAGTATTCAGAAAATATTGTACATGGATCAGAAGTGTTTTGATAATCCGGGAGTCATTCACAACCCTAGTTTGTTGAAAAAAATATCGGTAAAGTTAACGGAAGTACCTAAACATATGAGTTACAATATCTCACTAACGAAATGTAAGACATATTCAGTGACTGTCAGAAGATTGATAAAAGCAAACGGAAACTACATTTGCATGTTTTTCCCAACTCAAGTATATAATCGTCGAATAATATCACTAGGACTGTTGAGTACAAGTTTCTCCAGAAGACCTATTGATAAAACGAAGTAAAAGATGGAAGTGTTGCTCCTCTTTATCTGTTTGTAGTGCTTGCGTACCATCTAAACTATTTCTGGACAATTTTATATGAAAGTGGTTACCACAGATGTGTAAATTATAGAGAAAACCAGTGACCACTTTATGGGAACAATAAAACTGTTTCCCCACAACATTATTTGCGTTATGATCAGACCTCACATTTCTTGTTCTAAATAATTAGATCTATTGGGATTTTATCCTTAAATGAAATATCAGCCACATGCCTGTTTTGAATGTTTTACGAAAACTCATTCTTCAACAAGCTTAACCAATAGGGTCGATGATAGCAAATACTGTTTTGATTAGCTGTAGATCCATCCGTTCAACCTGACCCTAGATAAAATTTAACGTAAATATTTCGCATTTAAGTTTCTTGATGCTTCCTAAATAATCAATATTTTGTTTTAAACACTAGGAAATCTTATGTGGCGTACAATGTGTGAAAACACAGCTGCTGATTCTCAACAATTATCTGCTTGTTTTGGCGAGCTTGGAAGTGTTTTGTCAAATATGTTACATTCTGGTTTATGGACACCTGACGATATCATCAATATAATTGATCAAATTACAATAACACCCGAGAATTGGTTAGCAGAAAATGTTGCGTGTCTATTGCATACATCAGGTTTGTTTTCCTTTTGTTTAATGTAAATTATTTGTTCATTTCGAATTCGTACACACATGAATTGTAAACCCTTTAACAAAGATATATTAGCTTAACTTAATACCTTATACAACAGTCTAATAAATTAGTTGTATAAAATATGTCATTTATATATGAAGTTTCTGATATGATAAAAAATATGTAAGAACATATATTTTTCAGGCTAATAGAAATTCCTATCAGTATGGAAATTGGTAGAGATTGTAGTATTTTTACATATGAAGTCATGAGTCAATCCAAGTTATTCCACGACTGGAAAAAATGGATAGCCGTTTCGTCCTAGTATGAGACTCCTTGTGGATGAGCGCTGCTGAGGAATTCCATACGGGGGCAAAATGCCCGTTCAGTACTTCAAAGTATTTAATGGTGGTCTAGCTTAGATCGACTCGTGATTTCAACTATGATAATAGAAATTTATTAATAACAAGTTTGAAGTGTGTTTAGTTGTCGCACAAATATATTCATCGATGTCGTTGAGGGTCGTCTCCGACTCTCGCCATTGTGTTAATATTCGGAAATGCGTTACACCGGTATATTTCCGCCTATATATCTCCGTTTCGCGAAACTGGGTTTCTTCTGGTTCCTTACAACTAACTGAAGCCCATCGGTCTACTCCGAGTGAACGCGCTGGAGCTGAGGCAGCACTAATCGATTGGATCCCCATTAACTGTCGGTTATGTGCTTTTAGATTAGAAAGTTCCATCAATGTGAGAAGAAATAGGCGTGAGAAACGATGACTTTTCGTCATCTCCGCCTATGCCCCGACAGATCGCAGCCCGGATGATATCAAGGATGAGTTCTACCACCAGTTAACTGTTCTTCTCCAGAAAGTGCGTTCGACAGATATTGTAGTACTAGCTGGAGACTTGAATGCTCAGGTCGGGCGTCTAGGCACAGAATGGAGTCGTTTAGGTGGCCGATGGTGCCCCCAAATGCCCTGGTACGGCCGAGAGTGGGGAGAGTCCACTCTCCCTCTCGAAATGCTCTCACATGGCCATGCGTATATAGCCTCTGCCAGGGAAGTCCTACTCACTGCCTTCTCGTGGCGGGGGTGTTACTTACGAAAATGAGAGGACGAAAAGCGAATGTCCGGCGCTTTAACCGGGTCCCAAATCAATGGTGCACATGGGCTCCAGTATCCTGAAGGAACAAATGGCGTATGAACCAATCGTTGGTCACCGGCTACCATGGGACTGCATCTCCTCACGATGCTCCACTGCCTTGTGGATCAGACGTTCAGGTCAAAGGCTCGGGGTGTGGCCCCCTAAGGAGACCACCTGCTTCGGTTCGGGCACCCGAGCAGTATCACAGCTCACACAAATCAATTGAGATTCGTGTGGCGCATATGTACTTGGTGCCTCCTTGTACCAATATCTATGTGTTAAATAAATAAATAAATAAATAAAAGGTGGCCAATGGGGACTTGTTGGTCGCAGGACAAATAACGGGGACCGTCTACTGCAACTATGCATAGACCACAACCTGTTTCTGGCTAGCACTAACTTTCGGCACAGTCATCGCCGATGTGCCACCTGGCGTCCCCAATCGGCATCTCAAGCCTGGACTCATATTGATCACATCGCGATCAGCTACCTCTGGCGTGGTTGTGTACAAGACTACCACTCCTTTTGGAGTACCTATCAGGAATCTGATCATGCTCTGGTCTGCGCCAATCTTACCTTACTTTTCAGTGGCCAGCGAAGTGACTGCCACCAAAGGATTGATGTTAGCAAGCTGGTTGCAACTTCTGTTGCCAGTAAGTATCGAACCGAGCTAGCTTCTAGGCTAGCTAGCATTCCACCGAAAAGTATAGATGAGCATTGGTTGCAATTGCATGACGCCATGAAAATGGCGGGTCAAGTCAGTTGTGGGTTCGCGAAACGTCCCGCTTATAAGCACAGGGTTTCTTCTGGTTCCTTGTAACTCATTGAAGCTCATCGGTCTACTCCGAGTGACCGTGAGTTTGACCACAAACGAAGGATGTTACGTAATGAAATTGGGCAAAGCTTGCGTAAGGACCGAGAAGCCTGGTGGTCGGAGCGTGCAATGAGCTGGAAGCAGCAGCTGCATCTGGTAACTACCGGAAGCTCTTCCAACTCATCCGAGCCACTGGCAGCAAGAAGTCTGGTGTGAGCGAAACAATCTGCGAGGATGACGGGATGCCAATCACTAGCATCCATCGACGTCTTGGACGATGGGCAGAATTTTTCGAAGGGCTGTCCAACTGGCCTGCTGCTCCGGCAACATCGGTCAGACTGTCCTGCCATCCATGGCCGTTGACGACTGATCCACCAAATGAGGCGGAAGTCCGCAAGGAACTCCAACTCTTGAAACGTTACAAATCACCGGGCCCACACGACTTACCTCCGGCTCTTTTTAAAGATGGTGATGACTTTCTGACTAAGGGACTGACGACGTTGTTTACAAAGGTTTGGGAACTAGAGTGTGTACCAACGTCATGGAATGAGTCGATAGTTGTCCCTATCTTTAAATAGGGTTCACGTCGTTCCTGTAACAACTATCGGGGGATAAGTCTACTTACGATTGCGTCCAAGCTATTGGCTTCCGTCATACTTCGTAGGTTGTTCAGAACCCGAGAAGGATTGACTCGCGAGGAGCAGGCTGGGTTTCGTTCCGGTCGAGGATGTATCGATCATATCTTCACCCTCCGCCAAATGTTAGAACACCGCCATACTTATCAAAGACCAACAATCGTAGTGTTTCTTGACATCAGGGCTGCCTTCGATTCGTTGGACAGAACTGTTCTCTGGACATTCTGGAAACAGCTTTGATGGATGTAAGTAATTTATTTTTATTTATTTATTTTAACACATAAGTATAGGTACAGGGAGGCACCAAATACATATGCGCCACACAAATCTCAATTGATTTGTGTGAGGGCTGTGATACTGCCTGAGTGCCCAAACCGAAGCAGGTGGTTTTCTTAGGGGGCCACACCCCACGTAAGTAATGGTGGTGTGGGTCTGTTGCTTGAAGAAAGACTTCTCGACCTTGAGTATGCGGATGATATTGTCTTACTGTGCGGGAACACACAAGCTATGCAATCCGCACTTAATCAGTTGGCAATCAATGTCCGTAGGTATGGTATGTGCTTTGCACCTTCAAAGTGCAAAGTACTTCTACAAGACTGGCAGGATTCTAATTCTGTACTCACTCTGGATGGTGAGCAGATAGAAGTGGTCGAGAAGTTCGTCTATCTAGGTAGCTGCATAAGTGCTGGTGGTGGCGTGAGTGATGAGATCAATGCACGTATAGTGAAAGCCAGAGCGGCTTATGACAATCTGTCCGCCTTTGGCGCCTTCGTGATGTTAGTCTGGCTGTAAAATGTCGAATCTACAAAGCGTTGGTGAGAGCAGTTTTGCTCTATGCTTGTGAAACCTGGCCTCTCCGAGCTGAGGATGTTAGACGACTCTCTGTGTTCGATCATCGCTGTCTCCGAAGGATTGCTGGCATCCAGTGACAACACCATGTCAGTAATGCAGAGGTCCGGCATCGTGTGTTCGGACACAGAGACGATAATGAAATTGGTGTCATCATCTTGAAACACCGACTTCGGTGGCTTGGACATGTTCTACGAATGTCGTCCCAGAGAATTCCTCGTCGTGCATTATTTGCCGACTCTGGGACTGGTTGGAAAAAGCGGAGAGGTGGTCAGTATATGACATGGTGTCGTGGTATGAAAGAAAGCTGCAAAAAGCTAGCTTCTGTTGGTCTTTCACGACTCCCTGGTTGGGGTCCGAGAGACGGTGTAACGCAGTGGCTAGAGACGTTATCAGATATGGCTCAGAATAGAAGCCAGTGGCAATCCTGCTGTAACCTTTTTTTACTTCATAAAAGTGGTTGTATCTTCCTTAATTGAAAGATTTCTTCTGATTATTACTATTGTACCAACTTACACTAATATGGTCGTTATTGTTCCTCATCAATTTTTTCACGCTCCTTGCCTCCTTTTTTTCTCCCCATTCTCATTGTTTTGTGTGGTGCATATATATTTGGTGCCCTCTTAATTCAATACTTATATGTTCGAATAAGTATATATATATATATATATATATATATATATATATATATATATATATATCCAGTTTTTCTCTAATCTTTCTACAACCTAAGAAAATACGCTCGTATCTATAAGGTATATTCCTTATGCGTCATCCATCTTTAATTGCAGTCTGTTTACAATCTGTCTCATTTAATTGGGAACAAGTCTAATCTTATCGACAATTGTATTTATTTTTTTCTTTGTAGGTCCAGAAATAGCGTTACTTTCTGTGACAAATAAAGCCCGCAGTGGAAAAACTGCTGAAGTTGCTGTTACTCTCACTTCATTATGCTTAGTTCAGGTATATTTGATTTTATACCTCAATACTTCACTATTATTTTTCAAAAATCTAAAGCCTAAAATTATTTGAAGAACTGAACCATTTTGAGAGCTTCAAAGTTTCCTTCATGCAGTCTAAATATTGATTGTGGAAACTTAAATGATCAGTGACCGCATTAGTGTAGTGAAGGTTAGGTATTTCGTACAGAAAACTAGGATTTCAGACAGTCCTGTTCTTCCACTTTCTGCTCTGGAGGGTTATGTCGATAAACAAAAAGAAATATGGAAAGCCTTATACGTAGATACTGTTTCCATAACGTATCGACTCGAAATTCAGGATTGAGGATGAACTTCAGCTGTTTCAGACAATATATTTAAGTATTACAACAGAGGTGTGTTGTTACAACTTATATCAGTGTCCTTCTATAGTCATAAAGCAAAAACAAACTTGGTCTGCAGCTTTAAATCCGTTAAACATTTAAATATACTACACTATATATAGTCCATTCATATCTACACAATGATTATTATAATAATCCCTAATATCTTAATCTACCGTTAGGTGAAAATTCGTGAAAGATTAACAGAACTTATTAATCTTGTCAGCGCCACATTTCAAGCCACAAAAGAAAAAGATCGAACTGCTTTTCTAGATCAGTTAGCTCGATCTTTTCAAGATGTTATAGTCGATCTGTATGAAACTGATGAACTAGGTGAGTTAATGAATTTTCTGTTTTATTTTGTTTTAATCTAGTTTGTATTGGCATTTATAAACTTTATTTAGTAACTTTGAAAGCATACATCTTTTATTAAAATCCATCATTTGTAGCCTTCCGTTTATTTCATATTCATAAATTCGATTAAACCAATCTATTACTAATCCATTAAACAAGTTAAAAAAAGAACTCACATATGGCATATGAATTTCATCTTTCCAGTGGTTTTAAATAGTTCTTTATCTGAAGTTATTTTCACAATGACTTCGAGAAATTAATTTTATTGATGTAAGCAGCTACATTTTACGGAGGCAGAGGCAATTATATCAAAAAAATTATGTGCATATTGTTCTTTTTCTATATAAATTGTAGATTTTAAAATTTCTAGCATATCGAACACAAAACTTGTCTTAATACCCTAAAACTTTAGGTTAATTAGCTTTCATAGGAGATTGAACAGTAAGCCTAAGCTGGCGATCGCAAGCTATTGCTAAGTTTATTGAAGCTTTAAAGTACTTAGCTTCCGCAATGCTGATCGCTTTTGATATTCAGATTAGTCTAGTCATAAAGGATTTCATAGCAATAGTTTCTTTATTGTATAACATTACACTAAGATATATCCGATAACATCAACTATATGTAGTTTGTTTCATTATATGATTATGCATGATGTTGACAACTATGAATTAGCGTAATGTTATTGATATATATATAGTTGTAATATTTTCTAAATGATATTTGCGTTTCATTTCCTACCTTGTTTATTTGAAATAATGTAGTCAAATTTCACGTAACCACAAATGGAATTCTAGCATTTACTGGTTTGCCTACAAGTTAAAGGGTATATCTATAGTTTGTATTATATCCTCATTGCCACAACTATTTCGTAATATTTGAAAATAAATCTATTTTTCTGTATATTCAGCGATTTTATTCGTTAAAAACTAAACGTCATATACATATCGCCTGTTTGACATCCCACATTTCTCTTGCAGAAGAACGAGTCGAAGATTTTTCCACTATACTAAGAGCACAAGCAGAGTTCATGCGTGCGCTTATGGCACATATATACGAGGAGTGATACATAAATATCCACTTGGCAAATTTGATTTTACTGCGGTGTTTTCACCAAATGTTTTTTTCATCGTTTAACTTTGTTTCGATGATAATGTCATTAATTTCCTTTCTGCTATTTTAGAGTTATGAATGTTAGTTCATACCCAAAATTGTTATTGTTGGCTTTTTCATTTTTTTTTTTTGCACAGATGTTGACTAATTATTTTTTTAACCTATTTTGAAATCTTTTACCTATTATTTTACACGTGTTACGAACGGTTCAGTTTTTTTTATTAGGAAACACTTCTAGTTCTGAAAAATTCTTATTTAATATAATGGAATGTGTTTGAGACAGTAGTTGCCCCCGATATTGGCGACCAAGAGAATTAATTTCCGCTGCAATCGAAATCTAGTTATCATAGATATACTTTGAAAAGAATAGACGAGAACAATGAAGAAATGCTTAGGAGGGACAGTTAAATCAAGCCTCAAATGTGGAAAATGTGTACAACTGTGTAAGTAATTGATTTTCGGGCATAACTATAGCAAACTGCCACAGATATTTATTCGATCGGTAGAAACGGCAAAAGCACCAACCTATATAGCTTTTAGATTCATTTAACTTACCTACTTGCGAGCTCAAGGTACTGACTTCAATTATATCTAGCAGTTTAACTTAATGAATATTCAGAGGGTTTTGGTAGAACTCGTCTTTTAATCCATATTGGCTGCAGTTTTTTGTTATTTTATTTGAACACATAAATATTAGTACAAGAGGGCACCAAATATATATGCTCCACACAAAATTTTATTTGTGTATGGGCTGTGATACTGCCCGGGTGCCCAAACCGAAGCAGGTGGTTTCCTCAGGGGGCCACACCCCGAGCCTTTGACCTAAAGGTCTAGTCCACAAGGCAGTGGAGCATCGTGAGGAGATGCAGTCCCATGGTAGCCGGTGACCAACGATTGATTCATACGCCATTTGTTCCCGCAGGATACTGGAGCCCATGTGCACCATTGATTTGGGACCCGGTTAAGGCGCCGGACATTCGCTTTTCGTCCTCTCATTTTCGTAAGTAACACCCCCGCCACGAGAAGGCGGTGAGTAGGACTTCCCTGGTACAGGCTGTATACGCGTGGCCGTGTGAGAGTATTTCGAGAGGGAGGGCGAGTTCATCCCGCTCTCGGCCGTACCAGGGCATTTGGGGGCATTGGTGAGAGCGTAAACGGGAAATCTGAAGATTTAATAGAATGTTTCCCCATACTTCGAAGATATCACTTTCTTTAATATGGAGTAAAACAGGTGAATATGAACTGAAACCCAATCTAGAAGTCCTTATGTATGTAGATGGATTAAAAGGATTGATGATCGAAGCGAGTATAAAGTCTGGTTAGGAATGAGATGAACTCGAGTGATGTTGAGTGATCAGTGATTGTGGCTTTCAACATTATGTAGGAATATTTGTCCATGACAGACCTAAAGAAAGAACTGAATTGCTATTTACGATCACGTTAAACTTGAGGTGTTATCACAGAGACAAAGTGACGAGTGTTTGTGCACAGTTACGTAAGACCTTCAGGTGAGTGCATGTACTTAAGATTAGCTCCGTAACTTACGAAACTTTCGGTTATCTTTGATAAACAAAAATAAAATGGCTTTCAGGAATATCTTCTGAACCCATGCAGTACAAATTTTTCAGAGGTCAAAACATTGCGGCTTTTTTTCTGATCACTCCTAATAAACTATGATGCCATTAAAGGATGTTAAAAAATAATTATTTTAGACAATACACCCCTACTAAATTTTAAAGATAGGGAAGCCAAACCTCTGAGTAAATGTATCAAATCTATGTATCTTTATTTTAAACCGATTTCGAACTCCCAAGAGTTTAAAGAATCAAAAATGAACGATACAAAAGTAAGGCACATAAATTTAATTTAGGTGGTTCCTTTATTGATTCTTGGACTAAAATTTGGTCAGTCATAGTTGGGATTTGGACATTCTGTGCGATGTGCATCGATGTAGCCATTATGAACATGTCTATATTGAACAGATAGAATGTGCATAGCGAGATTAATTTGTTAAGACAAATCTCACAGCAGTAGAAGTAGCACTAGTGATAATGGAAATGTAAAGATGAAATCTAACAGGGCGGATGTAAATGCAGTAACGAGAACATGATTAAACTAGTTGGTAGACGGTACTGAAGTCAGTTTCGAGAGCAAAATAGTGACGGTCGCCGAGACCCATGTGCGTAGGGGAGGATGAGTAGCAAAATAATTCAGTAATCGTATCGCCGGATGCTGATGATTTCAGTTTGCTTGTCTAAACTCGACAAAAACAAAGTTTTGCTGAACAAACTTTAGACTTGTTCTTTTAAAGGTAAATGCTTAATTTTAAAAGACCAGAATGTAATTACTATCGAATGGGAGAATTTAAGGATGGAGTTAACAGTGAACTCGATCAATGTGATATCTACATAAATAAAATATTTCAAAGAAGCGAGTTATAACCCAGAACTGTCTTTGCTTAGTACATCAACAGTAGGACGTCGCCAAAATTATTTACACGCTCACCCTAAGTAAATGTAACTACGCGGTTTACTGCTTCGAAACATGACTTGTTGACCCTAACCAACCAAACGTGTGTAAAGCGAATGCACATACAATGTTCTCAGAAGATTTGATGTTTGAACAACCATAAACGTTGATCTGGAGGTTTTTATAGGATTATGTATAGCGGTTAAAATGCCCTGGTACGGCCGAGAGTGAGGAGATTCCGTTATCCTTCTCGAAATGCTCTCACATGGCCACGCGTATATAGCCTCTGCCAGGGAAGTCCTGCTCACTCGTGGCGGGAGTGTTGTTTACAAAATTAAGAGAACGAAGAGCGAATGCCCGGTGTTTTAAACGGTTTGGTGGAAATGGAGAGTCCACCTGGGGGAGTTGGAAAACCTGATTCTGAACCAATGGTGCACATAAGCTCCAGTATCCTGAGGGAAAAAATGGCGTATGAACCGATCGTTGGTCACCGGCTATCATGGGACTGCATCTCCTCACGATGCTCCACTGCCTTGTGGATCAGACTTTTAGGTCAAAGGCTCAGAGTGTGAACCCCTAAGGAGTTGTTGCCACCTTGACGTGATTGGTCTACACCTAATACTGACTAGATACTTACCCGTAAGTGACTTTTCTGTCTACTGAATTAGCCTGACCGTTGTTGCTACCTTGACGTGGTGGTCGGGCTTGCCTATCGTGATGAAGCAACTGAGCCATACTGGCTGGAACAACCGTTCCTCAAGGTCCTACAATGTCAGACAGGTCGGTTGAAGAGCGGTAAGACTAAAAGCGACAAAACCAAGGTTCAAAGGCGAAGTCGTACTGCTGACTGTACAGAGGTGTGACAGCAGCAAGGTGTTTCTTTCAGACAACCAGCATAACAGCGATGCTGCCTTCCCACAAGGAGGGGTGGGGTTAGAAAAGGTCGACCCTAAAAATGCACACCTCGCCTTACCCCATGGATATCCGTCTCCGGCGGTAAGGACTCAACAAGTACGGAGCTAACACAAAAATCACTCATAAAAAGGTCGTGTGTGACCGACCTCAAGCAGCTGTCCCTTGGGCACTGCACTGCGGTCACGCTCTCAGGTCACTATGACCAACTCTAATCCAATTTCCTTTTCAGGTACCTCCAGCAGAACCCTTCCACGGTGTGGGCAACCGGGAAGTGATAACCGCCCTCGTACCTCTAACAGCACTCAAGACCACTGTATTCATAATCAACCTCCCTCTTCAATTCCTATTATTCCTCCTACATCGACTTTATACACTAAACTTCCTCTTTTAGCTTCCTCCTCAAGTGTCACCACAGCCAACGATTCTAGTGCTCAAAACACTGTCCCAGGTCTAGTGAAACCTCGCTCCAAACTACACATCGGAGCCTTCAACATGCGCACACTATGGCAAATCGGTCAGCAGGCTTCCTTGGCTAAAACCTTAGAATCTCGTACCATTGATGTATGCTGTGTCTCCGAAACACGCATACAGGATCCTAGTGTGGTCTATCACTTGACCTCACCTCGGCAATACGGAGAGCCAACGAGATACACCCTCCGTGTATCTGGCGACCCGATGGCTAGTTCTCGTGGACTGGCAGGTGTAGGCATAGCTTTAAGCATGAGGGCGGAACAAGCGCTATTAGAGTGGGTCCCCGTTAATAGTCGTCTATGCGCTGTTCGGCTAAACGGCTCCGTAAGAACTCGGAAGGATAGGGACACACGTCGTTGCCTTTCCCTCGTTTCTGCCTACGCTCTCACTGACCACAACTCGGATGAAGTGGAAGATGAATTTTACAGAAAACTCTCTGAACTTCTTCAGAAAACCAAACGTTCCGACATAGTACTCATAGCAGGTGACTTTAATGCCAGGTAGGTAGCTTAAATGAAACAGAAAGACATTTAGGTTGGTATTTTAGTATTCCGGCACAGAAAACAGATAATGGTGATCGTCTGCTGCAACTGTGCTCAGACAATCATTTATTTCTAGCAAACACAAATTCTAAGCATAAGGAGAGACATCCTCTAACATGGCGATCCCCTGCACCAAACCAACGATGGACTCAAATAGACCATATTGCCATCAGCCATCGTTGGAAAGGGTCAATAGAAGATTGTCGCTCATTCTGGAGTACCTATTCGGACTCCGACCATGCCCTAATACGAGCACGCATCTGCTTGCGCCTCACTGGACGCAAAAGAGCCACACAAAAAAGACTCATTCGAACCGAATTGAGTAATGAGAAAACCAAACGTAGGTTCCAGGAACAACTGAGGTCACACTTAGGTAGTTCTGAAAACGAGACTGACCCAGATGTTGCTTGGAAAGACATACAAGCAGCTGTGGAAACAGCAGTGACATCTACTAGTGATTTAAACCACAGGGTTACAAAGAACCAATGGATTTCTTCAAGGTCTATTGCACTGATGGATTCTCGCAAACTCATCCCATCAGGTTCTGAACACGATGAAGAGCGTAAACAAATCAGATGTAGGTTAAGCAAAAGTCTAAGGAACGATGGTGAGCAGTGGTGGGCAACGAAAGCAAAAGAGATGGAAAAGGCGGCGGCTATAGGGAACACAAGACAACTCTACAGACTAATAAAAGAAACTGGAATTAATAAATCAAGTGTAAGTCAGACCATTTCGGAAAAAGACGACACTCTCATCTGCTCCCAGTCCAGACGCTTAGAACGATGGGCGGAACACTTTAAGGAGCAGTTTAGCTGGCCTTCAGCTACTCTACAACTACCCTCTATTCCCAGACAGTATGAATGGAACATTGAAGTAGGTCCCCCAACTCTAGCTGAAGTTCAAAAGGCTATAGCTAATCTGAAACGAGGAAGGGCAGCTGGTCCAGATGGATTGGCCCCAGAGGTCTTTAAGGATGGTGGTCTAGTCTTAGCGATTAGGTTGACTAATATTTTAGCTAAAATCTGGGAGTTAGACGTTATTCCATCTAACTGGTCACAATCACTTATCGTCCCAATATTTAAGAAAGGGTCAAAATCATCCTGCGACAACCACAGAGGGATTAGTTTGACTAATATAGTATCTAAAATACTAGCTTCGATAATTTTCGGACGCCTAACTAAGACTCGTGAACTGCAAACACGCGAAAATCAGGCTGGCTTTAGACCTGGTCGTGACTGCATCGACCACATATTCACCATTCGTCAGGTTCTAGAACACAGGCATACTTATCGGCGTCCGACAATGGT